TAACGTTTCAGAAAAGTATATTTTTGAAAGATTCTTTTATTAAAAGAGAATTATTTTCTGTTGGCAGACTTTCAATAGGAACCAATTTAATCTATATATTTTAACTAAGTAGAAGAAAAATTCCAATCAATTTACATTCGGTTTGAAAGGCAAGTATTTTATTTTTTAGGAATATTAAATATGAGTTTGGAATTAAAACTAAGATTAAAGATTCAAAAGAGATTTTTTTTAAAGTTTTTTAAATTGCATTTTAAACATTAGGTGTCGCTTTTTTTCCTTTTTTGGACGTACTTAATTTTATTGCTTGTCTTTTGACATATACACGATTTTTTATAATCAACTGTTAATTAAAGTAAAAATGAAAAAAAGTTACTAAATACATTATTTCATATAGTCAAGAATTTACCGATTCCACTAGTTTAGTTACATTGAAATATTTCTCTAATCGATTCATTAGATCAAGTCTAATATAAATTGAAGTAACTATTGTAGCAACTTGAGCCAAAATGAAATAAGCAGAGCAGCGATATACGTCGTGGTTGTGCCGCATGGGGTAGTAGTAAAAATTGCCGTCCCACCCGTAAACAGCATTCCCAAAATATAAACAAAAATCTACAAAATAAAAGAACGATTACAATTCCGGGTATTTATTTTGTATTGTTCTCTCTCTCGCTCACACAGAGAGAGCAGAGAGAGAGAGAGAGAGAGTGTAGGTAGAGCAGAGAGAAAGAGAGCGAAAGGAAGCGACCAGAGAGAGATCATATCATATATATATATATATATATATATATATATAGAGATAGAGAGAGAGAGAGAGAGAGAGAGATAGAAGAGAGAAAGAGGTGGAGAGAGAGAGTGTGTTGGAAGAGAAGGAGAGAGATCTGGAAGAGAGGGAGATCGAAAGCGTGCGAGCATGAAGAGGGAGAGAGAGAGAGCTGGAAGAGAGCGAAAGCGAGTGAGCATGAAGAGGGAGAGAGAGAGAGCTGGAAGAGAGCGAAAGCGAGCGAGCATGAAGAGGGAGAGAGAGAGCAGGAAGAGTGCGAGAGCGAGCTAGCCGGAAGAGAGAGCAGGGAGTGAGGAAGAGAGAGTGTGTGAGAGCAGGGAGAGAGAGATTGAGAGCGCGTGATCAAGACTCCTGTACCCATTTCAATGTTTTAAAAAGTGGGTTAAACTTTAGTTAATTTTTCTTTTGAGGCTTGATACACACCTTACGTTAGAAGATATTATATATAAATATTATATTATATACAAAAGAAACATATACTTAACACCAGGAAGAGATAGTTGAAATTTCTAGGGCACATAATGAAGAAAGAGGGCTTAGAAAATCTGATACTCACAAGACAGATTGAAGGCAAGAGGGACATAGGGAAACAACGCATAACACACTTAGTGATCTTGTGTAAAAGGATGGTGAGACAGGGCTTAGGAGAAATCAAATAAAGACAAAATTTATTAAGAACTACAAGTTACAGGAAGTTGTGAAGAGCCATGAACGCCTAGATCCTAGGGACACGGCACATAAAGAATATAGGTGATCCGTCGTTCTCAGAGTCATTGAGACAACTCGACTGGATGAGGAAGGAGCCCATTCGTCTAAGACAGTGATTCTTAACGTTCCGTCTTTATTGGCGGTGGTAAGACCTCTTAAAGTGGCGGAAAGTGTTCAGCAGAGTTACAGTGTCGTTACAATTTTATCGGGGTAGTAGAATGATTGGAACAAGTTACAACTTCTTATACAGACATTTGTTTATCTTTTTGTCTAAGTATTTACGCTTTGAGACGTATTTTAAACATTTAGCTGCAATTGCGATGCGGTATGTGTATGGAGCATAAACCTGCAAGCCAAAATCCTGTTGCTTCTAACCGAACGTCTGGCACGGTGATTGTCGCTTGGATCTTCCCGCTACAGCTTACTCTTAGGTGCCAAATAAATGCCTTCGCTGATTGTTAAGTTTGGGATTAAAGGGATTCCCACCCAAACACGGAAGTTATTAAAATACCCTACATTTATTAATTTTTTTGACTTTTTTAAATGTACATTTATTTATATTGCAACTTTGATCAGACTTCATGATTAACAAAACCGAAAATATAAGACCACGAAGAAATAAAACCGAAAATATAAGACCACGAAGAAATAAAACGAAAAATAAATGTCCGAATAGAGACAGTGATTCACTGTCTTCAAACTAAACACTTCAAATCCTAAGTTCTTGAGATCGAACAACAGTCAATCCTGGTGGGGATCGTGCAACCATTTCACTATAGATCCCATAGAAAACTGTACAGATCTCGAAAGAATTTTTGGCATAAGCGTCTGGCAATCATGTTGCATGAGCGCCAACGAATCACGATGCGATTTTTTTTTTTTTTTTTTAGACAGACATATCTAAAATTGGAGGCCCACAAAAACAAAACAATTGTTCTAAGGAAAAAAAATTGTACATTTTCAGAACAACTTAGAAAACCCTTCTATCCCGCACCCCCTATAAAATTTCCTCCCGTACGCCCATGCCTGGACATAGGTTATTTTGTCAAAGCTCGACAGAAATAGAGTTGCACGGATAATTTTAGACACAATTACTTATACAGACACTTTATGCACCAATAAAAAAACACAAGTAACAGACAACAGGCATGAAACGAATCAATGCGGAAAGCGTAACCTCAAAAGAATCTACTTCTTGGGCATCAAGAATTTTACAACAAGGATTAATTTTTTTGTTTAGACTGGCACAAGGCAACGCCATAAGGATCAAACTTATAAGTATGAAAAGAGTTTGCTAAACATTGCGCTACGGTAAAAACTCTTTTCATATCTGTAACTCCAATCCTCATGCTGTACCCCAATAAGCGTTCTTAGAGATCTTCCTTCACCTTGGTATACATTTTTTTTTATTGAATCACTTGGAAAATAGAATCTCTGACCATTCGTCCTGAAGTCCATGACTCTTATTAATATGCTATATGAGCAAGTCAAATACTCCAGCTTAGTCCTGTATACGCAGACATTTTTTTTTACCTCAACACCTTATTAAGGCTTTCATGATTTTAAAAGCTAATTAATTCTTTTTGTTAATATGAAAGGAAAAACCTGGATAAGCCTCATATATTCCTATCCCCACCAACACCTTGTTCATTAAATGCACTTTTCGTCAAATTCTAAAGTGAATCATTGTTAAACCACTCAACTTTCTCATTCAATCCAAGTCACTCGTCTCGAAAATTCGCACCTGACGACACTATAAAAAAAAGAAATAGAAGTAAAAAAAAAATTACTTTGCTTTTTAATAGTTGTGTGCAGAATAAAGCTTCATGCAACAATCGGCTTGTTTCTTGCAACGGCAGCTATCGCTGCCACTACTACTATTGCTATGTAATGTTTATTACTACACGATCAGCACTCATTTGTTGGTTGGGAGTTCGAGTCCCCGGTAGACGGTACATATGTAGGTCACATCTCACTCAATAAAACAAATAAATAAAAGAGAAAAGTAGATCGTGCCACAATTATACAGATCACCAGTGAATCAAAAGACACCAGCAGAAAAGAACACTAATGTTTTTAATTAATTAGACAATTATTAATTAACTTCACTTTTTTATTATGCATTTTTTTTTATAAATAAATCGATACAAAAAGATCATCTGTCATCCCAAATGTTAAAAATAAGACAGATATTGATTTTTTTCGTAAAAATAAAAGTATAAGAAGATTCTGTTGCGCCAATTAGAAAGTGTTCGCCTATCTTCAAACTAAACGGTTTGAATTCTGACCGAGCTTTTACTTGAAGTCGAACACCAGTCATTAGCATTGGTGAGAATCGGGCAACTACATCAATATTTGGAAATCCCATAAAAAATTGGACAGAGATACATTGAAAGCATTTTTATACTGTTGCCATATATGGTCTGGTGCCCCCGCTGTTCGTCTTAAGGCCCTCGACAAAATCCATAGACGGATATGCAATGTAATTGGCCATGATCTGGCATCTCGTCTACAGTCGCTCTCTCACAAACGTGTCATTGCTCCCCTTTGTCTTTTTTACAAATGCTTTCACGGTAACTGCTCCGACAAGCTACTTCCGCTAATTCCTGGACTGCATGAATTTAAACGTGCAACTAGGCTGGTATCTCGATCCCACCCTTTCAGTGTCAAAAACAGTTAAATGTAGCCGTCTCTTCTACTCCAATAGCTTCATGTCTCGCACCTCCTGTCTGTGGAATTCCTTCCTATTATTTGTTTCTCTGATAGCTATAATCTCCAACTATTCCAATGTCAACATCTCCAGATGCCTTGATCTATTCTCTGTCCTTCTCTTCATCTTTTCCTCTATCATGCTTCTTTATTCTCGCTCCCAATCTCTGTAACCCCTTGCGTGCTAGTGGTATCCCACCTTGCTTGGGGTAAAATGCTTAAAAAAAAAAAAAAAAGAAAAAAAAAAGAAAAGCATGGGCGTCCGGCAACCTTGTTGCATGAGTACCAGTGAATCATGATACATTCTTTTGTATGAGTGTGTGTGTGTGTGTGTTTATAGGAACACAGAGACACAAAACAATTGTACTCCAGAGTTCTCCTTAATTGACATGAGTATATGTATAAATGAATACAAGTGTAAATGACCTGTTAATCTACTAGAAGGTAAGTGACCTGTTTATCCACCTCCACACCCATGACTGTGTCTCCAAATATCAAATTTATATTCACTTGACTCATACGAGAACAAATAAAAGTCTTTTCATGTTCATAATGAGTTTTATGATCTAATTATCAAAAGGGTAAATTCTATATGTAGTAGAAATTACATTTATTCATTTCTAAAGGAAAAAAATATTTTTTTTTAGCTTTAGCTGTATCTATACTGAATGTTATATCGATTTTTAAAATTAACGCCTATTCGTATATTTTATTTGCCCCCCCCACACACACACACTTAATATTTGCCAAATCTGCTCGATTACTTTTATACAAGCATACAGCATCTTTTTTTCTACATTACGGCCATATCACGTTAAAAACACCGGTTCTCATATGATCACCAGAGTTAAGCAATGTCGAGCCTGGTCAGTACCTAGATGGGTGGCCGCTTGGGAATACTAAATGCTGCAATGGATAACGATCTGAAATTAGAAATCGTAGAGTTTGTTATATTCACTTACGCGTAAATACCTTTAGATACGAACCCAACTCTTCCCCCCAGCTATGGGTTAATTAGTAAGACGTGTATCAGTAAATCATTATTATCTCCAAAAAATTCTTACAATCCAAAAATATTTTCTGGCTTTAAATAACCCGCATAAGGTTGATAAGTCATAAAAAAACATTCCATCTACATCAATATGGGATCTCTTAAAACAAATTGATCAAAAATTGGTATTTAACCTGTTTCTTACTATATACTAGCTGAACTAATAGAAATTCTACAGCTGTTGACAACCAAGATTATGGATTATCGTATATCACTGCTTTTCTCACCATTTGCCTGTATCTTCTCATTTTCTCCCTTATCCCTTCCAATACAATTAAGATGATCCATTATCTTGTGTATATACTTCTATAACATTTTGGCTGTATCTTCTCATTCTGTCCCTTATGAATTCCAATCTTCGTTGCCAGTCTATGATTTTACCTAAATATTATACAAAAAAGAATAAAATTTCATCATTCTCTCTTTTATATTTCTTTTTTTCTATCACCCCATTAAAGAATTTTAAGGTATCGCAGTTTTTTTACGATTTTCCATCGCTACTTGCCTTTCAATCTTTCGCTCATTTCTTTTTTATATCTTGTCACTAAGTTTATCTTACCATACTTTTCTTTCGTGTCTATTCCTTTCTCTCTTCCCAATATATATATATATATATATATATATATATATATATAGCATAAATTAAACGTGGCGGCTATACGTATTTGAGTAGACGTGTTTTTAAACAAGGAAATGAATTTCTACCGGCCTGAACATCAAACTCAGAAAAAAATGGGCTCCCTCGACAGGAATCGAACCTATATTCCTTTTTAATGTTAGAAACCACTTTCGAATCGAATATGTTTTATCATTAAACCACAGGAAGCGATCTTAGCGAAGTAAGACTCAATTAATGCATTGAAGAAATGACGTTTATATCAAGTAAATGTCGGATTAAAACCCCATTTATTGCGCACACAAACACATACACTGAATTTCACTGGGATTCGAACTTGGTTCGCCGACTTTTCATTCCGTGACGATAACCATTACATCACCTGCACACCGTTGTTAAAGATCTGAATCTATCTCTTCCCCTAGACTGGGTTCCCTAGCCGTGGTTGACAAGCAGTCTATGAGAGGAGCCAACTCTTCATTCGAAACCGTATGTAGCCATCGGGTAACACATACTATGGAGCCATCGACAAGGTCAGAGTTCACGCTACAATGACTCTCGACTGAAAAAATTAATGAGATAGATAGTAAAGTATCAATTAGAATGTGCGACCCAGAAAGAAAAGAGAATTCTTGGTCAAGGGTATTTATCAGTGATGAATGGCCTCTCTTCGTTTAAAAAGACACCTTACAGACTTTGGCCTATCCGAGGCAATAGTTTTATGGCCCGTGGTAATCTTTGTAGCCTTCTTTGGCACAAGCTAAAAGAATGACTATAATGTGTTTTCCCAGAAGCATTTGAAACTATCTGTTTGTCTACTCCATGAATTTGGAAGTGGGAAACTAGTTGAATATACTTCATCTCTTGGTTATTGTGCATCATATTCTGAACTTCATCGTTTCTTAATGTTAGCTGCAGTTAAGCAAACCCAAACTACGACATCAGTACGCTTAGTTTCACATCAAACCAAAGAAAATGATGAAATCCACGACGTTGGAAACAACTGGGACCATAATGCGAGAACAGTAAATGGAAAGCGCATGGCAGGTGGTGCTGATCGTAAATCTGTGTCCTCTGGGGTCTTCGATCCTATTCTAAAGGCCGAACCAAATAACCTTGATACAATGTATGCCACTCAGATTCAAGGCAATTGTTCTTGTCATGAGACAGACATCAATTCATCTCTACATATTTTGATATGGATCTTTTAAGAAAGGAAATTATTTGGACATATCCAGATAAAATATCAGGGGTCATATCAATGGAAGGTGGGATTGTATTTATTAATATCCGCATTCTTAAGTCTTGCATTTTTTGTATAGAGGTGTATGGCTAAAACAACACCCTCAAGATTCTGGTAAATTTGGTGCATGTATGACTGAGTAAATATTAACAGGTAAAGGCGTTAAATGCAGTAAAGAATATATGAATTCACAGATTTTTTTTTTTTTTAACCCAATACTATTTAATATTTGATGATGACGGTTCCCCACCCCCTTCGACGTGCATAAAACAACATTTTATGCACAAAATTTACGAACTTCTAACTAGGGATAAAATTGTATCCATGACTAGAGTAGATATCGTTATATTTGATGGGTATATTATCAGTCAAAAACTTCCATCGCAGTTTTCAGCTATATGGCTTTCAACTTCAACGTGGATGTGCGTGGATATCGGCTCGGAATGAAAAATCGGAGAGACGAGTTCGAATCCCAGTCGAGTTATGTACATTCACTTACCGCAAATATCTTTGGGAAAGCTATAAATTCATGGAGTGAATAGCAAGACAGACTGGTTCCTATAGCCTTGACTGGCTGACGACATTATGTACACCAGTAGACAACATGGAAATATTAAAATTATATGTGGTATTTGACAAGCTATGACAAGGAAAGTATAATGAACATTGCACGACAGAACAGAAATACAAGGATAGTAAATATTTACGCCCATCTGGTCATGCTTCATGGAGTAAATCTTGCCGAATGTTAAATTGATTAAATAAATAAAAATGCTAATCATTTACATTATGATGATCACTTGATCGACATGTTGTATATGTTGTCAGAAAAACAAAAGTCAGTGTCATGATTTGGCAATTGAGGTCCACTTCAAAAGAGGCTGGTTCTTCGTTTAATTCTGTTGTACTTTACAAACTGGAACACAATAGACCAAATTAACAACCCCAACACGTTCCTTTTTTTTTATTTTATTTCTGCATCATCGGCTATCAGTTCTGAAAGTTCTTAGTCCGGAGACCTGCAAAATATGGTGAATCCACTAGATACCCTCGTGTGTCATCTGTTATAGGAAGCTTATCTTCTGATCAAATAAACATCCCTCTTTTCCATTTACTGAGATAAAGCGTAATACAATCAGCTCCTTTCATAGCTAAGGAAAAAACGCAGAAATATTTAAAATTATGATGGAGAAGGCAGGTCTTCATCAGTCCCTCAAGAGTCTTAGAACAAATTAACACAAAATTAGCAGAGAGAAAAGTTTGCCCAAATGTTGTCGAAGCACTATATCGAAAAGCGGAATGTCATTCGCTAAATAAACTAAGTTGCAAGAAAGGTTTGAAAAGCGTCTGATAGCAATAAAAAAAAAAAAAACACACTCATTGAAGATTAATTTCCCCAACATGTGCTTCAAAACTCATACCAACTTATGATGTGGTGAGAATGAGCAAGTTTTCTCTACCCCCATATCTGCCTGAGTGCCAATCATGGGGGATACTAAAGAGAAGGTTTAATTCACTCTGCACCAACAAAGAAAAAAGACTCCCAGTATGGAAGTAAAATGTGGGACAATTTTTCTTAGTTGAATGGAAACTCCAATGGAAAAAATTTTTATTCTACAAACCGTGCGAGAATTCTGATAATCAAACATGAACAATGAAGAAGTTCTAAAGAAAATGAAAAAATCTTCAACATACTTAAAATCAGAAACTGACATTGTATCTGCTTTGTCGATAGAAGACTGAAGGATTTGGCGTACTAAACATCGCCTTCCACGTGTTTAGTCTGTATGTGGCAAAAATCATTTGATGTAAGAAATAATATATATAAAAAATATACATCAAATGATAAAATGTGTGAGTCACTTTATACCCCTAATGTAAGAGAATAAAATAAATGATAATATTTTACCCATCTATAAAGAACAATTTTTCATTCCTATGTTTCAAGTTCTCTGTTGTACTCGATATTTAGCATTGATGTCTATATTACATACAATTAAATCCTAAAATTCTCTTTCCAATAGCAGACATATACATGCAATGTCACATTGTAAACACGCAAATAAATTATCGTGAAAATGATTCTCACCCTCCTCGTATTAGGCGACCTTGATAAAAAAAAAATGACTTTTTTTTGGCAAAGACATTTAATAATTGGAGGGATATTAACTTTATTATAGATAAATAAATTAAATAAAATAGATAAAATAATAATAATGAAAATTATAAATAAAATAAAACAATAACATAAAAACGTTGTATAAAATAAATAAAAATTAAATTATAAAAAATAACCCAGGATAACAAAAATTGTTCCTGCCAGAGAATACGGACACATCCCACAAAAGACGTTAAATTCAACCTCTTCACAACGAACCCTCAGGCCAGGCAACGTGTGCAAATTCTGTGATGGCTTTAATAATACGAAGTAACTTATTCCTATCTCGTATATGTACCATGAAACAATTGTAACCTTAAAAAATACACAGACTAAATACAAAAAATATTAAATAAATTGTATGAAATTAACATACACAATTTACCATCTTCTCCTGTTATTTCTGTACGTTTTATTTCCTGTCAACTATGATTTTATCTCCTTGAACACGAGGTTAATTTCTGCTGCTAGTGACCGCCACATCATATATTTCGATAATAATATATAATACTTAAGAAAATCTCTAATAGGTGGGGAATGATTCTCGGATATTTCTTTAGCATATTTCATATGGAATTAAATAGACTAACATTTTTCAATACTGTAAAAAAGTTTTTACCACGCAAAAAAATCTCCCCTCGAAAAATCACACTAGAACTATTTTTGATTTTTCTATTTTAAGAATCGTGTTTGGTACAAGACTAAACATTTTCGCTTATATTAGATACCATATAAAAGCTTAATCTTTTCTTTCTTCAACGATATGCATATTGTGGGGAATTTCATGGCACATCCTTAAACTATAGCAAATATATTAACCATACCCTTATATTTTAACTAGCAA